AGATAGGTTTATTAACAAGAAACACATTGCAGTCTACAATGACTGAATTGCGTGTTATTTTACAAATTAAAGAGGTTAAGTTCTATAGAGCTATAATTTACAGGAACATTTTAATTCATATAAAGTTAATAAAATATATACTATAAGTATTTATAAATAGATTTATAAAAATTTATGTTGAAAGGTTTATAAAATTGAGTATCTAAGAAAATTCTTTGATGCACGCCGGTATAAAAGTTTTTAAAAATCTATCTGTTTTTATCTTTGGAAGATGAAACTCTCGAGTTTTTCTGAAATCGTAGTTCGCAATTAACGTTCTGGCAGAAGGAATGACAATTTATGATGTGGATTGTTGATGAGTTGATTGAATAGTTTTGAGCAGGCCTTGTATCGCCGATCACTGAGGGGAATAAGGTTGCATTTTTGCAAACGCTCGGGCTACGGCAAGCCTGGGAAAATTATCGAGGTGACTCTTCTTTGGACTTGCTCAATGGCGTCACTAAGATAGGTAGGCAGGGCAAAATGGAAAACTTCGCAGCTGTACTCGAGTACAGGCCTTACACATGTGCAGTAAAAGTCAATTATATCTTTGGCGGGCACTTTTGCGCGTTTAAGCTGTATAATGAAGTATTTTCGTTTGTTTACCTTCTTGATCATTTCGGCGACGTGTTTGGACCATTTCAAGTCGTTACTGATTGTCAGTCCCAAAACTTTAGCATGATCAACTAGTTCGAGAATTCCAGAACTTAGGACAACATTGGGAAAAGGGCTTCTAACTGTCGTAAACTGAAACAGTAGTTCTTTACATTTTGGAACTTGAAGTTGGAGTTTATTCTGCACAGTCCAGTCTTCCAACTGGTTTACTCCTGTTTGAATAGTACTGTGACTGTCTTTTGATATTACTTCAGCAGCAGTAGTATCGTCAATATATTTCCGCATTTGGAAATCAGTTAAATTCAGATCGTTTATCATGCATAGTATAAAGAGCCATGGGCCTAGTTTTGTCCCTTGAGGAACTCCGGAAGGGACATTTCCCCATTCGGAGAAACAATCCCTGGCGAGTTTAACTTGTTGTTCCCTAGATGTAAGAAAGTCGATAATCCAATTAATAATAGGTAGAGGAATTGAGAGCTTCCGGATTTTGTGAACCAGGATGTTGTGATCTATCAAGTCAAAGGCTTTGCGGTAATCAAACAAGAGGAGGCGAACGGAAGCGCCAGTTCCGTCAGTCGCTTGAGCACATGTATGAATAATACTTATGAGGGCGAAAGTTGCTGATGATTTTCGATGATGACCTCCAAAACTGCATGAGAGACGTATTTTTCAATAACTATGTCTTTGGCCAACTTAGATAAGGCTGGAGTTAATGAAATAGGTCGAAGATTCTTGTTTATATCACGGATTGGTTTATTTTTCGGGATGGGTATAATATTAGCTTGTTTCCAAGCGTTTGGCAAATGTTTTAAATAGTTTGATTATTTGCAATGTTTTAAATAGTTTGCATCCTTGGAACTTAAACGTCTTTCTGCCTGCTTCGGTTTTAATTCGTGGTGCTCCAGGAAGCGTCTACAAACAATTACAATTTTATGATCTGACAAAGTCCTCCAGCACAAATCCATTGATCATTCCCTATCAATTACTTCCAAGAGTACAGTCGCGTCGCCGGAGGAGTGAAATGGCATGCACTGTTATTGCTAGTGCCATTGTTATAATATGTTCTTGTTAAATTATATGGAAACAGACATTTTCAATTGTGTAAGGTGGAAACATCTATAGCCTGTTGGGGCAAAGTTGATATGATAATCCCTTTAGTTATCAATATCTGATAACATGCGAGGTAAAAATGATTCACTTGAGTTATGCCAATGTGGATTCAGCACCGTGTGAATTTCAGTGTGCTCCATACATTTTTGAAACAAGAACTAGTCTCCACAAAGTAAAAAAAAAAAAAGAAAAAAAAAAGTAAAGCCAGCTTCGTGTTTACCGCGCAGACAAAAACAATGGAAAGCGACTGCAACTGGCGTCCAATAGCTCCTTCAATTTCAGCCACATTGGCAAGGAATGTCCCGAAACTTCGTATCTTGACATCGATTTAATTTAAAGGATAACATTGTTGTTTATGAAATGCTCATCTGGCTAGCGAGATGCATGGTCCACATTGGATGTTTCACAACAAAAGTTCTGGTCTAACATCACTAGGTTGGGACGATTTTAATGAATTAAATGTTAGAAAAATTTTCCTCATTTCAATAATATTAATATGTAGTGGAATCCACTCAAGTTCACGAAATAGATTAATGGAAGTAGCTCTATGATCTTGTTCTAAAATTAATCTAGCTGCTCTTTTTTGCAGTATAAAAAAATCATTAAGTAGCTCGTTCCTTGCACTACTCCAAATGGTGCAGCAGTACAACAGGTGTGGATAAATTAAAGAGTAATAAAACTGGATGCGAAAACGTAAGGGAAGGCTATGTCTAATTCTGTTGAGCAAATAGAGCCTGGAATTAATGGTATTGTAAATTAGATGAATTTGGCAGTCCCATTTTAAATAACAGTCGAATGTAATACCAAGAAGTTTAGCCTTATTTACCTCTTCAATAACCACACCATCAAGTTGCACTATTAGAGGAGAGGTATCTAGAAATTTACGCTTAGAGTAAACTTTAATCGATTTAGTTTTTTTTTTTTTACATTTAAGACAACGTGAAGTAAATTTAAATTATAACTGATGGTACTTTCATTTCTCCCATATCAAGGAGTGTAGAGTCGTCAGCAAGTAAGAACGGTTTATTTGCCACTAAACTTATCAATGGTAAATCATTATCTTCTGAGCAAAAATGTGATTTGCTCAGAAGATGCAATGTGTTTTTCTTTCTAGTTTTTGCTGGTAGAATGAAAACGCGCCTAAAAGTGAACAAAATACTGAATTTTGTCAAAATACACGTACAAGTGTAATGTGTACGCAGGGCCGCCGAGACAATTCGCGGGGCCCGGGGAAAATCTTCCCTGGAGGCCCCATGACATTATTTTTAAGCTAGATCCAACTAAACCTTAGCTACACGCGTAAAAACACTGAGCCTGCTGCTTGACAGGATTGAACAATGTTTTGATGCCTGCGTTATTCACATTTGTCAACAATATTGAACAGTACCAATGCATGGAATATATGACTGTCTACATACATAATTAGTCATTATATTACTACATGGTGTATAGAAAAAGAAGACCTTTAAAATAGTCCCGCATTGTTATAATTTCAATGGCTGAACCGTGCTAAGTGTACGAATGCATAAAATATTGACACCTACAGTACTTTGTGTTGAGAGCAATGGGGGTCACGAACGAAAGACACGGTGCCCGATATTTTGATAGATGTAAAATGGAATCATAAGGTTTTATTTAATAGTTATATTTAAAGACTTAAGCGACTTGTCAGCAATTACCAGGGAGGGGGGGGGGGTGGAAACTTAAAAGAATAAGTTGAAAAACTGTGACCCCCCAGCAAGGATGAGCATGAAATATCATGCCCTCCCCTTGCCCGTTGCCAAAAAATTCATGACCCCTCCCCTTTCATGCTGCGCAAAATCCATACATATCCAGGCAACATTTATACAGATATAGTATATTGTTTTACTTTTTTATAAATATTAAATATCGAATATAAAATATTTAATATTATTATATGGCAAGCATTTGTTTTTGATGAATCGCGCAATTTGATTGGCTGCTGACGAGGTAGGATTTCCCCGTATTGCCCACGAGCAATACGCAATTTTTACTGTTCTGCGGAAGAGAGCCGAGTTTCAAACGGCAAAAAGTGTCGAAAATCTTTCAAACTATTCAAAACGAAGAAAAATAGACCTAAAATAAAGAAAAGGAGCAACGGCTGTGGTTAAAGAACTTTCTCAATACGTTTTCGGTTTTTGTTAGCGAAAGTCAAAATTTCAAGGTAAAGTTTACAATGTTTATAACTATTAAAGCAGTCAGCAATAGTTGTGTTTTGTATGTGAAGAGCTGCAAATTTTATTTCCAGATAGCCAGAGAAATTTGACACCATCCTAAATAAAAATATACAGCTAATTATAGCAGCCACATAGTTATAATTTTCCCCTGAAAACTTCTGTTTTTGTTCGATAAAAAGAAACGTAAACATGAGATGAAGCGAACTAAGAACGTACTTGTCCATACTGTTTATTAATTTTATTGTTTTCATATTTGTTGTCTTTGATTAAATGACGAAATACCTCGTATTTTTCTTGAAATGCTATCCAAACTGTGTTAGTATTCATTAATCAAAGTGCTGTAGAGTAGTTT